AATTTTTTTTAGTGCATTTGATTTGTCTCACTGAGACGAACACAATGATATATAATTTGTCAAGTTGTCACGACATAACTTTTTTTTGTCGCCCTGTGTTATGATAATAAATCTACATCCGATTCAATTCGTTCAAAGAATAGATAAAGCCAGCTCACAAATCTTTTATTTTCCTGCTTCGATCTATTGTAACCTAATATCTTTTTTATTTTGGCACAGTTTACAGCAACACTCTACATAACTGCTCGAAAATAGTGAACCATAAAGCTTTTCATTTCACTAGTTGCATTGAATAGAAGCGTCGCATTGTCGCCATTTCTCTTATAAAGTGCATAACATTTAGTTTGTTGTACTTTACACTTGATCATCGATACTATTTGATAATCAGGTGTTTGTGTAAGTAAGCAAAGTAAATTAATGAAATTTGCATTTTTTCAAACAAAATTTATCCTGCGTTTTAGATAAACAAATAGTGCTACTTACATCTTCAGTTGGATTTAATTCATCTCGTTTGGGAGTTTACATATCCAATGCTCCCTGGCAGTTAATTAATTAAGTGAATTAAGTAAAATAAATATTCTTGCTCTTCTGAACGACTTTATTTTGTGCGATTACACACCGAAGGGTATTTTTAAGGAAAAATTCTTCTGACTTGGCGGTTACATTTGTATACTGCAGATTTTGTAAAATGATACATTCAAACATTTGTTGTGCGGGCAGCCATAATATGAAATCCGTTTCAGCTAAGAACGGGTCCGCTGAAATTTTATGATCTGCCAGGCTGCCGTGGCTTACGATACTAAAACCGGTACTAAAGGTATCCTGTAATTTGAGTTTTTATGCTCGAGACCAACCGCTATGCATAGTATTAAGTTTTATGTGTTCTTTAATTTTGGACGAGATCTTTCTCTTCTATTATTTAACATGTCAATTATCGTCTTTAGCGTGTCGTGTCTCTTTTATTAAATAAAAGTGGAAAGGGAAAATTGCACCAAAGCCGGAAATAATTGAAGTTCCATTAATTAAGCAATACATTAATCGAGCAGTAAATCACATTTGGTGCATTTGTGTTGCGTCAGATGCATCTTCATTAAATTAGCTTTGAATCTACACCAGCTCAAGCCTATAACCAACATTGGGGGGCAGTTATCTTCCGGAATTACGGTGCCACTCTGTTTGCATCTAATATGTCAGAAAATACAGGTTAGTTTACAGTGTGTTTAGAGTAATAGAGCTGTCAAAGAAAATCCTACCAATTATTTCATTGAAAACTAGGATCTATTCACTGTCTAAATGACTGATTAGGGAGTTTTTGTTCTAATACAAATAAAACCACTTTAATTATCCCTAAGCAAATTGGAAACAGTGAAATTACATCTAATCATTAATATTCTGTATATGCACCGTTTTACATTTTATATTTCCTGTTCCGCGTCAAAATCTGAAATCACATTTCTGTACAAGTAATAATATCAGAATATCTAGTTTAGACAAAAATATTCAATTAGATTCGGAGCATGTATATATTTTTGTGATGACCGATGTGCTATTGCAATTATGTGAAAGATAAATTGAAGTGATCATTTGGGAGAAAAAGCTTCATTTAATTTGTAAAATCCGAGATTTCTTGGTTATTTATTTCGACTGATGAAAAAAGGTAAGAGTTTCCGTCTGCCTTGGCTGGATCTACTTTATTTCATATTTTCTTGTTTGAACTTTGCCAACCAATTTCTCCTTTTTTATATTTCGATTTCTAAAATAAGTATGAGAATGTCAAGTCAATTTCTTATAAAATATGGAGAGTTTATTTAATAAAAGGAGAACAAAGTTTCTGAGATCATTCCTAGCGAATTGATTTTACACCTCTCCCCTTACTTTCTCCTTTAAAGCAACAAAATTTCATGCAACAGAGGGTAAAAGCTTATATGTATCGATTTGAACTGAGCCTAAAGATTTGAAAACAAACAGTGAAAAAAATGTATACTTATTTAACGCAACAGCACTTTCCAATTGACTCATTTCTCAATATTTCTTAACGAAATGTTGTTCAATTTACGACGGAAAATTATTAATTATACACATAAAAAGAAAACTACGAATTGCTTCGTATTACACAAATACGAGCTTTTATTGAAATGAAAATTTTATTCAAAATGGAACAAATATTTTATGTACATATAAAGTTGAAAGTAGTTTATTGTACTGCGAAATAAATATATTTAACAATAAATTAATTTTAAGACTAAAATAAATTATTTATAAATAAAACATTTCTCAAAAGTAGGTATATTGATGCAGGATTAGATAAAATTTAAACGAATGAAATAATATTCATTCCTCTCGACTCTCGTTTTGCTAGGTAAGAAATGGAATGGAGTTAAATGTCTGACAAGTTTCCACTAGATTTTATCCTTATTAACGGTATCCTAGTTATGCGACTTTCTTGCAAAATGTACAGTGCAAACCCAAAAATAGATAAATTGACTTAATATAGGGTTCACGAATTTGTGTGCTTTTTTCTAAATGGCAAAAACATTTTTGTTTAATGTCAGCAGCAACTTTTTTGTACAATAAAAAAACAGCAGAAAAACGTTACTGTTACATTTGTAATATTGTTGCAATCGTGATCATAATCTACTTTCTTATAAATGGTACAATTTATCTAAAAGCAAATAAGCAAAATAATCGTATACAATTATAAGCAATGTTATGTCATAATTTCCACATTTTATTGTTGGTAAATAAAACTCAAAAACCTGATTCTCTTCTGGCTTATACGTATATCAGAAATGTTAAAAATACTTGTACCTTTTTTCTGCCATTTTAGCATAGGTCAAAAAAAGTGAAAAGCAGAAAATGTAGAAAAAACTGTTGTTTTGAAGAAACCTCGTGTACCTATGTAATATTAAAATTTAATTTAATTTATACAGAGCGTGTAAGAACTCGCGCCCCAGAAGAAAATTTCAAATAAGATATGATACCAGGAATATGGAAAAAATGTTTAAAAAAATTTATCTGTCAAAAAATTTTGACATTTATTTTTTGACATTTGACATTTGTTTATGTCTATTTAATGATACTGATGATCCTGTATACAGGCTGCGCCAGAACTCGCGCCCCAGAGAAAAATGCCATGTAAGATACTTGGAAAAAATTCTGTCAATAAAAATTTCGAAGATATGAGAGTTTAAATTTTGCACTGTGACTCTATTTAGAAAAATAATTTTCCAATTTTTTTGCTACAGGCTATTAGAAGTTAGAACAGAATGGTACTTGTGGCTTTCATGGACAAAATTTTTGTACCCTTACTAAATAATTAAAAAAAAACATCTACAAAACATGTACCCTAAATAGGGTAAACGCGAAAAATTTTGTATAAAAATTTGTGAATTTTATAAGTTATATCCATGAAAATTGGTGTGTGGACTTTCGGTTTAAAAAAAGTAACACGTGTTTCAGTATTCTTAAAAATGCCACCTCCAAGAGGGTTAAACAAGAATGAAAATGTGTTTTAAAATCCGTATATTTTTAAAGTTACATTTAGGAAATTTGGTACTTATTTGAGTTTTCGGTTAAGAATGAAGAAACAAGTTTCTCAGGATTTTTGGAAATTCAACCCCTACAGAACTTAAACAGGGAATGAAAATTATACAGAGTAGCTAAAAAGTATGGATACAACTAAATATTTTCAGATCGGTTTAGCAGATCACGTTGAAATTTGAAAAACAGTGTACCTATTTTCTGGTCAAAATTCAGGCAGTAAAGAGCAAACGATAGATATGGACAACATTTCTAAGGCTAAAAAACAATTACATTTTTCAAAACTTAATTACTTCCATATTTTTTTTTTTAAATAAGGTATTCAAATTTGACCCTTCTTGACAAAAAAAAAATCAAGCATCTGAGTCGATGGAATTTAAATACTTTTCAGCATATACCAAATTTCAATAAGTTTTGATAAATAGTTCTTATAATATTAAACTGTATCTATACTTTTTAGCGACCCTGTATAAAAATGTGCCAATTTTGAAGTTATTTATGAAAATTGGTATTTGGGTTTTTGATTAATAATGAAGTAGGTAAGTAACACGTATTTCAATATTTTTCTCGCTGAAGAGGTTGTACACGAATATAATGAGAAAGAATCGTTATTATCAACGATCATCAAAAATTATTTTGAAAACTCGATTCCCAAAATTTCTAGAAATTTGAGATGAAGCTACTTCTCTAAAACTTTTAGGTGTTTTCTTCATAAGTATTTTCAACTTTTTCTTTAATCTGATACAGATTAACACGCCGATGTTTGAATTTTAGAGCTTGAAAACTAATGCAGTACCATTATGAAATAAAGAAGCAAGTGAGAGTGAGAGACCAGAAAAACAAAAAGAAAGACGCAAGTTTTTTTATTTACTTTAATAAAAATTAACAGAAAGATGTACTTTTAATAAGAAATTGTGGTTAAACAAAACCATTGCCACCTGCTGATTTTTCGTAATAAATAATAAACATTTTTCTAGATTTTTTAAACAAAAAGCAACCAAGGGGTTAAGTAAACTCATTTGAATGGATAAAGATAATAATAAATTACTGTAAAATGTGTACTTTAAAGTTGGAATTTCTCTACTGGTCAAAAATATCTAAATACGGAAGTAAAACCATAATTTTGATATTAAAATTAGTAACTAGCCTAATTTGTATAATACATGATATTATTTAATCAATCGTAGAATATGTTTCTTTTCACTATTTATTTATGTATGTCTACACACATATTTTTGTACGTATCTATGAATCAAAAATGAGTTATGCTTTCTGCAAGTATTAAAGCCTTAGGTCAAAATTTCTACGGACTTTCCAAGCCGAGTTTGCTGAAACTTTAACACATTTTTCTAAGTTTATGATACAAAAGTTGAAAACAAATTTTAGCGTAAAATTATTCACACCAAAACTTTTGCTAGAATCAAGCCGTCATCTGAAAAAATATGAGCCATACAAAGTTGTTCAGTTTGGTTAGTTTTAATAGTAATCACGTAACAAATTCAATATTTTGTCTTGTGTTAGACGATGTCTGTGCAAGTCTCACATCCACAGTGGCCTTCCACCAGTTGTACCAAGGCACAAACTGATTCTTGAAGAGTAAATAAATACTGGACACGTACCCCGCAATAACAAGAGCTAAGAACATGTATATACTGGCTTTGATCCACTTCTTCGACACGCCGGCTTGGTTTCCTTCAATTATAAAATACTCCATTCCGATAAAGCAGACCGTTGCCAAACCGATCGTTACGAGGGTGAGCAGGAAAGCAATCACCACATCGGCTTGCATGTGGACCTTATTCCTGGGATGTAGGAGCCATACCTTGAGACTTTCGCAAATTGTATATCGACGGGTTTGGATTGATCGGTATCTAAAGCCACACAACTCACAGGTTAGGCGAAACGATTCATTTATCCACGTTTCGAGGCAGGATAAGTGCACGTATGCCAGAGATCCCTTGCAACGACAGGGGGATATTAAATTTTCACCAGGCACATTGTTAGCGTGACATATACGACAAACACTAAAATTTGATGAGAGATTTTTTTCCAAGCTGTTCAAAAGGGCCGCTTTCGATTCCTTATTGTCTAGGGATATACTAATACTAGATTTTTTTGATTCTATTACCGACATTTCTAATTGGACTACTTGACAAACAAAATTTTGAAAGATATGACGTTTAAATGAATTGGGACTGACGTTTTATGCATTGGTAAATTGATAACAATTGTCAATTTTGAAATAAATTAATGATATATAAAATAAGAGGTGAACATAATGCCGAATTGCCAAATTAATTATTTAAATCCTATTCCACAACGCGTAATGTGAAATAATGATTCCAGGTTTCATATCAATTAAAATATAATATATGAAATGGTTATGTCATAGTTGATAAAATAACAAAGATAATAAATGTTCCAATTAATTCGTGTAGATTTATTGACAAATAGAAATCAACCCTCAATAATTAATTCAAAAGAGTTAAGAGTTAAATCTAACTCAATTTCGGTGTCCAGGCGAGTCCACTCTATTTTATGTTAATATTTTACAATATTTTTTTAGTATATGATTGTATTTCTGAGTGAGTCAAATACACATATTATATAACTTTGTTATATAACCTAATCAAATTTGAGTGAAAATTGACTTAACTTTGAGTGGGTTTCTTATATTTTGTTACTCAAAATTGTGTTAAAATCCAATATACAAGGTGATTCTTAGGGCCTACATAAGAAACTTTTTAACTTAAAATGCAGATAGGAATTTCAAATTTTGTACACAACCCAAATCAACCAGTCTGAGTTCAACTAAATTATTTTCAAAATTGACGCTAACTTTGAAATTTTAAATGGTACCCACTTATTTTTATTGCATTTTTAAATTCTCCTCTTTAAACTAAGTAGAATGTACCTAGTTGTTAGTACCTATTTGTCATAGTTTTGACGTATGTTAATTTTTTGGTCAAAATTTTCACTTGCAGGGGTTCATTCAAAACATCATAGCTCTTGAACCCTTTGCGAAAAGTGAATATTTTTTTTGCATTTGATAACCAAAAGTTTTAAAAGTTTTCTAAAATTTTAAAAATTGTCAACTGTCAAATTGCAAGGCTAGTATGATTTTTTGAACGTCAATCAAAAGTACATCAATTTGTAGAAGGACTTTTATCAACATCTCTACCTATCTCTTACAGTTTTTAAAATAATCACGAAAAACATGTTATTGTTTTTATTTTTATAGTTAATCAAAAAATCATAAAAGCTTTGCAATTTGACAGTTGACAATTTTGAAAATTTTAGGAAACTCTTCGAACCTTTGGTTATCGAATGCAAGAAAAATTATTCACTTATCGCAAACGGTTCAAAAGCTGTGATGTTTTCAATGAACTTCTGCAAATGTGAATTTTGAGCAAAAAATTGATATACAGGGTGCGCCAGAACTCGCGCCCCAGAGAAAAATGCCATATAAGGTAAGATACCAGGAACATGGAAAAAATGTTAAAAAAATTTTATCTATAAAAATTTCGAAGTTATGAGGCTTTAAAGTTTGCACTTTGACTCTATTTATTTCTGTTGGAAAAATAATTTTCCAAGTTTTTTTGCTATAGGCTATTAAAAGAGGAAACAAGGAAGCTGTATCCTAAATTGTAACTCTGTTCAATGTTATTTGAGGCTTTTATTGGCAAAATTTTTGTCCCGTTACTAAATAATTGTAAAAAAACATATACGAGATCATCAGTATCATTAAATAGATATAAAAAAATGTCAAATGTCAAAAACTAAATGTCAAAATTTTTTGACAGATAAAATTTTTTAAACATTTTTTTCATGTTCCTGGTATATTACCTTACTTGAAAATTTTCTCTGGGGCGCGAGTTCTGGCGCACCCTGTATGTAAAAATCTATAAGTACTAACAACTAGGTACATTTTACTCAGTTTGGAGAGAAGAATTCAAAAATGCAATAAAAATAAGTGGTTACCATTTAAAATTTAAAAGTTGGCGCCAATTTCTCGTAGTTCCGGAAGTTCAGCTATTTTGAAAATAATTTAATTAAATTTAGACTGGTCAATTTGAGTTGTGTACAAAATTTCAAATTCCTATCTGAATTAGAAGTTAAAAAGTTTCTAATATAAGTCCTAAAAGAATCACCTTGTATTTATTTAGGTACAGGCTGGTTTTGAAATAATAGACAAATGTAAGTAAAAAACTGTATTATGAAAAATTACTTAAAGTAACATTTTGAACGGTTTAACAAAACTTAAAATTTGGGGTAACCAAATTAACATTGCTGCTGTAACTTTGATAAAACTCATACGGTTCCTTGTATAATAACGTACATATTTGGATCTTAATATGTTTCCCTATAATGAAAAATAATTTCCTAAATGTTTCCGAAAACCGCTAAAAGTTTTAAATTGTAATATACATTTTTCAAAAGGGCAGTGAAGTTTAACAACGGACAATCAACACACCGTGAAATGTTCTTAGTGTTTGATTAAAGCAACAATGTATATTTTGTTATCACATAAAGTACACAAAATTAACATTATTAAGAAAATGTGAAAAATTAATTCATTAAAATTAAGTATTATAAAAAAAATCGATACTTCTGTTTCTAACGAAGTTCCCTTATTTCAGAAGTCCAGATAACTCCTTCCATACCATTGTCATATTCTTCATTTTCCGGCTTGTAAACATTAAAAATTCTTTCTTCTAGGACAGGGAAACATTCAGCCAATGTTGGCGCGTTAGGAAAAGGTATTGCAAACTCTTTTTCAATCTAGCTAAAACAAATGTCCTATAACTGCTATAATGTAAAAAATCAAACAATTTAATAATACTCAAAACTGAGTGAAATTGAATCATACCTATTAACCGTAAACTCACTTTTGAGTTATTTTTTCCAAATAAGTTTTCGGGTTTTTTAATAAACGTTTTGCGACAATAATAATATAATATCGTCCTTACTCCTTTCTACTAGAAACCATCAAGGAGGATGTGAAGATTTTTAAGAGTTTGACAAAGAATGTTTAATATATACTTCCGAGAAACCACTTTCATTAACGCATGATTATAATTTACAACTTATACTTAAATCAAAAGATTATTAGAAAAATTAGCAATTAGCAAAAGGTTGTAGTAGGTATAAAATATTTGATTTTTTTTAAGTTCTAACAAGAGGAGAATGAGTAATGTATACCATGAAAAATATCTACCTAATTAATAAGTTAGGTTGTGATTAGTTTAAGCGCATGCGCGAAAAGTACCATGACAATAAGAAGAGCACAAATAACCATTTATTCTCAAACGAGAGTCAAATTTACACAAAAAATACACAAACATTCTTACTTGACTCACCATTGAGTAGTAAATTTAAGTTTTCACTCAAAATGTTTAACTGAAAATAATTTTGCGGTTACACTCTAGGTTTCCTTACAGTGTAGGAAACGTGAAGCATCATTAATATCAGTAAAGAATTTTAATTCTGTTATGAATTAATAATGAATCAAACATAAGGAAGCCTTTGCTTATTAAATAACTTAATCAACACCACAGCAAATTCACCTAACGAGTTTCTAACTTTGTCGTCGGTGTATTCATCAATAACTAACTGAGTTTGCTAACTCCATCCCACTATTATAGGTAAGCATAATCCTTTAAATTTATTCAGTCTTGATGTTGTCTTTACAGGCAGGCAAAAAACTTGGTTTTAGTTTGAAGGAGAAGAAAGATAATCTGCAAATAAAATATTTGTGTATATTTCTGTTGGCGTTTAATGAAAAATATCTTATTTTTGAAAGCATCATTATGCAGGCTGTACTCTGTCAACAGCAAGGTGACGCTTTAATGAAATGCCATAAAATGACTTGCAAACTTCTTTTATTATCCTCCTTATTACTTTATCCCAGTGGCAGGTACAGGACAGAGATATTCCCGACACTTTAATAAAGTTTAGACTTTCTCTCCTGGTTGCCGCTTTAATTTCTTGACTTGGTTGCTGATTGAAATATTTGTGCGACTTAAGTCTACCATCTGTGCTTTATTATTCGATTATAAAATAAATTCCCGACTGGATAAAAGCCCAACTCGGAAAATGAACTCGCAATTTGTACACATACACAGAAAAGATTTAATTCTAATCTCAAAATTTAATATTAATTTACGCAATAAATAATTCCCCCAGTGTTGCAAACTTGCTCCACGCTCAAATTTATTGCTTTCAAGTGCTTATTGTCCATAAATTTTAAACAAAAATATCTCCCTGACGTCAAAGATTTTCACTAAAACAATAATAAAATGTTTTCGAGTAACAGCAAACACCAAAGTTTCTCCCGGACAATCTCTAATATACTTAGTAGCTTTGTAAGTTGAAAATTTAAAAGCTTGTTGTACCCAGACAATTTTCTAAAGATGGATCAGTTACGACGTTTAAACATCCAATAAAAGACAACAATTCTTGAAAGAACCCTAAAGCGACGACTTGAAAATCAATCTGTGTTCTGTGAAATCAGAAATCGGATCAACCAACTCGATAAGCTGCTTGCGTATTCTGTAATCTGTAATCTGCACTGCTCAATTTACAATTAGCATTCTTTTTAAGAAGAACTCTATTCCAAACTCTAGCTTTTTTAAATCACTGTTCAATAATAGATAATAGTCAGAGACGGTTTTTTTTGTTTATTTTATTGATGCCCGTTGATCTACTGCTTTTCGTACTGATCCTGGAGCAATTTGTATCGGCGGCTTGTTAGAGGAAGCAAGGGAGGGCTCCCGAAACAAATTGTTTTAAAAATAATAGTCTCAGATTTCATTAATTTCAAAAATCCTTACAACATATAGTAATAACATTACAAAAACGGTTTTCTCTCAAAATTTAAAAATGTTTCTTTAATAAATTTACTGTGTCCGTCAAGGGCGGATCCTCGTACGATATTGCCCATTTTCGCGCATATGTAATTGTGCGTTATGATCTAGTTTCGTATATGGTCGTAGGAAATAGTATATTACATAACGAGCACGGAAAGTGATAAATAACGCACAAGCGGGAAAGTTGCGCACGAGGCGTTAGCCGAGTGCAGGCAATACCGCGAGTGCGTTAGACACTTTCCTACAAGTTTTGTACACTATTTTTCCTACGACCATAAATATTTTTTTCTTACGAACATATTTTTTTTTCATAAC